AAGAAACAGATGCTAAGTGTTCTGATAGTTATCCTATCGTAAGGAGTCTAAATCTTAAATTAAAAATGGCTTGGCTAAGTCATAAGAGGAAAGTAATTATGACTGTCTAGTTTTCAACCCCATCAAAGGCCTGAGAAAGGAGATAATATTACTTTAGTAGACAGGAAGTGCAATCAAGGAGCTTCCAAAGTGTGCAGTAGATGACAAAGACAGCTGGCTACCTGAGCAATCACCCAAAGTCTCATTTGCAACATTGGAGCAACCAATTTTGGCTAAGGCCTCGAGTGACTGACAGACCATTTTCAGAGGCAGGAAATTTTTCAAAACTGTCTTACCCTATCTTGGCAAGGTTTGGCAGTCTTTTTACTGCTCATCCAGTCTGGTCATCGTGCATTTTGTCAGTAGTTGAGGCAGGGGCAGATCTTTGCCCAAAGGCCAGTTTTGCCAAGAAGAACACAAGCTCCAAGTGGGCTGTCTTTGGTGCCCAACATTCCCTAGAAAATAGATGGGTGCTGCCAGTAGCAACTGTGTCTCACGTCAACAGAATCCTGAATTATTTAAATGTCATATTCTACAGATGTTTGGAGTGTTTGAAGATTACCTAACTAAGTGGAATCAATCTCTATGCACTTAAAGAACCTGATTAATCTAAGTATGGAAAACATGGGTGACTATTGACCTATAATTCTTAATACATATATAGCTTAAAGACTAAGGCTTCATATTAAAAAAAAAATGAAATAGTCTTTAAACAAATGTGCAGCAAATGAGGACAATGACCTCAAAATGTAAACAGTATATAAGTGTCTTGATCAGAGGTAGGAATGTATATTGCAATATGACAAATAATCCTGAAATTGTATCAATATACAAAATGTCTTAAGCAGATATAGAAGCATGCATGCATACAATATGACAAAATAAGTCTGCATATGTGCACAAATATTGTAAACAGAAATAGGTGCATATTCAGTATAACAAATATAATTTGAATTTGTATCAATATAAAAGAATCTACACCAGCATAAATTGTCTATAAATAATAGCTCACAAGTAATCACACTATTACTCACTATTATCCCATCCATTCCCCCTCCTCCTTTTGTAACAGATTCTATATCTATTAATCTATTGAGATCATCTTGGTTGCTTTCCATGTTATGCCATTTTGAATATACCTGCCATGCACAGGTTTTTTTGTGTTGAGTCTCCAGTTTCCTGGTTAAATAAAAACAATGTGATTGCTGGATCATTTGCTAAGATGTGCTTAGTGAGAAACTGTCAAAGTGTCTTTCAAAGTAAATTATCCACAGGCATAGTGGGGGAAAATGCACATATTTTGCATTGCCTCTGTCAGTTTGCTTTCCTATAGTAGCTCTGTACCGATTGTTACCTTTGTGACTTTGCATCGAATGAGATTAACTGAAGTTAGGGACACTGGGTTTCTGTTCTGTTCTCCTGCTCTTCTCTTTCACTCTGCACACTGAGGTCCTTTTCTGTCTCTCAGTAGCTGTGTTGTCAGTCTTCAAGTTGGGTAATTTCCCTCTTTGTTTTCACCTTCCTGAGTAAAGATTCTGGGTTCTTCTCAACATAAACATTAGATACCCACAGAATAATTTGATGCGATTTGGGGGTGGGGGGCAGGAACAGCATTGATCCATAGATGGAGTTGGAAGAATTTATATTTGACACTAGTCTCCCTATGAATTTGATATGCAGAGTATCTATTTAATTAGTTTTGTGGTTTTATCTTGTAAAACATTTATTTACTTTTATTTTTTGAGCAAATGTTTTTTCTGCATTTATGTACTATGTGCATGCAGTAAGGCCTGAAGAGAGAGCATTGACACTGGAGAAACTGGAATCACAAATGGTTACTGTGTCACCATCTGTTGCTGGGAACTGAACCTGGGTCCTCAGCAGAGCAGCCAGTGCTCTCAACTGCTGAGTCTCAAGCTGCCTGTTTTATTAATATTTTACTTTTATTTTTATATTAACTTATCAACAGCTTTTTCATATGGGATTTTCATATATACTTTATTTTGTTGATTCTTCCCTCCTCTGCTTTCTTGGGTTTTCAGTTTCTACTTTTAAATTTAGCTAATTGATACATGATAAATGACCATTGGGCCCACAAGTGATGTCATTGTTGACCTTAGATAACAGTTGTTTCTATAGAAAAATGAGGAAAGGAGCTCAGTTTGAAACTCTTAAAACAGAGAGAAATTGGAGACACTGATAAAGACAGAGCTTTGAAGGAGGGTTTTCTATTAAAAGAACAGTAGCTTAAGGTGAAAGCTGGAAGAGTTAGAGAAACAGAAGTTTGTTTTTTAATCAAGTTTTGGAAAATGGCATTGCTGGATTCTTGTGGATGTTGTTTACCTGAGAGGGAACTGAGACAGTGTAAGGCAGAGTGGATGTTTGTGGAGTTCTGCACTGTAGAAGGGACAGACACAGAAAAAATGTAGATCAGTCAGGAAAGATGGTTGGTTCTTATCACCCTCCCCCACTTCCTGCTCAGCTGAGTCCTCTGGGGCAGGTCTGCTGCTGCCCTAAGAGATGCTTTGAGTTAATGGACTTAGTTCGGAAGCTCTTCTTTCCATACCTCCTGGTGGGTCTGCCCCAGCCTCTCTTTTCCAAGTGATGCCTTGATGTAAATGGAGACCCTGTAGGCCAGGTGCTTCTGTTACATTTAATGTCCTGCTGGAATAGGGTTAAATGAGCTCCTTCTCATGCAGCATAAGAGGGGAAGAATTTAGTTTCACAGTGGGAATCTTGGGTCTTCTACCAAATAACAGGATTTAAGATGGATTCTTCACCTTGTCCATCTTTATTTCCTCAGGCTTGGTGGATTTGTCCAAAGAACCATCTTTTCAGGCTATAATTCTGCAGTCCATTAAAACGCATTGACCTCAACTTACTTTCTATTCAGTCATCTGAAATAGAAGTGTTCTGAGGTCATTTTGTTCTTTGGAAGTTGGTTATATATATTTGGGTACTTACACAAGTAAGTATTTGCAACGTCTGTCAGTAGAGCAGAAGCAGTCGCAGTGAAGTTACAGAAACAAAGAAAGCATTTGGGAGTATAGAATAGCCTTTGTTGAGATTTTGTGTCTTAAGCTTTCTAGTTTTGTAGTGTCATTTTTGCAGAATTAATAACACGTTAAAATGACGCCTGTGTTATTAATATGGCTGCAGTACTGTTTCAGCATTATTATTTAAATAGGACCTCCAGATCATTTCTACATTGATGGGTAGTTTAAAAAACTTAGAGGCAAATGGGTCATGTCTGGGCTATTAAGGACATGTGCTGCCTTAGCAGAGGTCCTGAATTTGATTCCCAGCACCTATATCAGGTGCCCTAACCTCCAGAGGATCTGAAACTGACTCCTAGACTATGGGGCACCTTCACTCATGTGCACATGTCCTCCCTGCCTACCCCAACCCATATACACATGATTAAAAATAAACGTGAAAATTTAAACAAATAGAGAATGACAGTTTGTAGCAGGTGTGCAGTGTTTACAGGAATCTTAGCGTTCCCGTACTAGCCACAAATTGTGAGTTTAGGTTATACTGAACTGTTACATTTTTATTCCATATGTGATACTGATGTTGAGCACATTGCATTGATATGTTAATGTGGTTCAATAGAATTCAAGTCTTGATTTCTTAACATTCCCCTACAAGCACCCAGGGTTCCTGAGTCTGATTCCAGGCTAGAGGAGTTGACGTTTCTCATGCCGAAAGGGAGAATATGCTCTAAAATGAAGCCAGCGTGTCAGAAGCGTGTCGGTGCTGTTTGTAGGCTCTCCCACCGGGCAAATCTAAAACCCAGCAGCAAAATGATTACAAACAGTAGTAACTGGTAAAGCATTGGAAAGAAATAGTAATTTATGAGACCATATCAATAACATAGCATTCATATAAACACATAGGGCAAGAGGGAGCTCAAGACAGATGTCAAATGTGAGTTGAAAATTCATGATTATGCCAATGTGTCATAGTAAAGTTCAGAGGATTCCAAGTGAGTGGAATTCCAAGTCTAGAGAAGAAATTTGAATGAAGAGTAGCTTGTTTGCATGGTTGTAGTCTGACCAAAGAATACATACTGACTGCAGGAAAAGATAGTAACTAAGCCGTGGGAAATCTGGAACATATGTTTATGACTGAAGCGTAACATCACTGGTGAGGAACAGGACCCCATATCCTGGTCTTCAAACTGTCATGACCTCCAGTGGCACATCACTTACTTCTCTGGTGAGAAGTGTGCTTATTTGAGTCTTATTATGAAAGAACCACAGACAAACTCAAAAGTACAGCACGTTTTTTAAGGGACTATATTCTGTCAAATAAAAGTTAGAAATACTAAATAAAGGAACGTTAAACCATACAGCATAAATAAATTTGATGAGGTGCACATGGTGGATTATGCCTGCAGTTACAGTGATACAGTTGGGAAGGCAATAGTATTGCAAGTATAGGCCAGCCTGGGGTTACATAATAAAATCCTATAAGAAATAGATTATAAGTATATAAGATAATAAAGTTTTCATGACCCCAAGACTTGGTCTTATATTGGTGGGGGTTATTACAGATTAGTTGAAAATTTTATCATGCAGATTATAGATTACTGTGGTTGACATAGTTACTGGAATTGTAACTGTTGACTTGTAAATTATTTTTTGGAGGAGCACATGGAAAGGATCACAGTATTAACAACTTTGTGTGTGTGGTGGGGAGGGGGTATAACAAATGTCAGGAGGCATTGTGTAAAGTTATATAGTGTTTGTGTTTCATTTGTATTATTTCAAAGTGTATGCCCGTGTGCTTGAGTACATCTGTTAGTCTTGTTGCTTTAGATTGCTTGTTTAATTTTATTCTAATTAATGAATTGCATTCATCTTAAGATGTTGACCTAAACTTTTATAGATGTGTATACAGGTGTTTATATAGGTATTTATAGATCTGTATATTGATTTTTGATTTCTTTTAACTAGTGCTGGGCCTAAAGGAGATAACATTTATGAATGGAGGTCGACTATACTTGGTCCACCAGGTTCTGTATATGAAGGTGGTGTTTTTTTTCTGGATATCACGTTTTCTTCAGATTATCCATTTAAGCCACCAAAGGTAAGAACCTGTATATACATTGATTAAATATCCTTCTCCCAAACCCAGGTATTTTAAAATTTAAATGTATATTAATGTAATAACTATCATTTCATCATTATTCATGAATTAATATGAAAATTCAGAACCTACTTCCTCCCACCCTATGGGATTCCCGGTCTCCAAGGGGAGGGACCTGATGGAGACCTCCAATTAGAATCTCTCTCCACATATCTGGTTGTGGGTCTGTGCACCCGCACCCATCTGCTTCCAGAGGAGAACTCTCTGATGACGATGACTGGACCCATCTCTGAGTTTATCATTGGGAAATGGGATTTTCTGTTTTGTTTTGCTTTGCTTTTAGGTTTCTAGGTTGTCCAGTCTCCGGTGCCTGGCCATCCAGGCAGTGTAAGGCTAGTGTGGGCTTCATGTTAAACCACACGTTGTTTGGCCATTCCTGGATGTTCTACATCATTATTTCCCCAGCACATCTAGCAGGCAGGACAGATTGTATAGGTTGAGGGTTTTGTGGCTTTGTTGGTATCCAGGTTTCTCTTTCCATAGCCTACAGAGTATCTTCCCACACCAAAGAGACTAGAACATGGGGGTGAAGGCTCCACGCAGGCAATAACTCAACTTCTCTATATTCAGTAAGTTATGTGGATGTTATCCTCAGCAATTGGGCCCCCGCTGCCACTGTGTGGAGAGTGACCTGTCCTTGTACCAGCCTGGGTTGTTGGGTTCTCCACAGGATCCTCTTGGCCAGCAGCTCAACTGGAAGACTTATCTGACTACAGATTCCATATCCTCCATTGCTGGGAGTCCTCCAGCTGCCTCCTCCTTCTACACACACCCCCCCTACATCATCTCAGTTTCCTGCTCCCATCTCCACCTGCCAGTCCATGTGTAAAGTGTATTCTATTTCCCCTTCCGAGGGAGGTCCGTGCATTACTCCCCCTAGAGCCCTCTTTGCCTATCGTTTCTGGTCTGTGGACTGTAACTTGATAGTCATTTATTTATTATTTAACACCCACTTGTAAGTGAGTGCACACCATATTTGTCCTCAGTCGGGTTATTACCTCACTCAGGATGATACTTTTCTAGTTGCTCCTATTTGCCTGCAAATTTCCTGATGTCATTTTTTAAACAACTGAATAATACTTCATTTTTAACTGCAGCATTTTATAACAAGATCGTCCTTAACCACTTGAACATACTCCAGATTTGACTGTTTTTGAGTGTTTTACAGTGTGATCATTAGAATCTAAAAATCCTAAAAGTTATCTTTAAAAGCTCTTCAGATGTGCAGGTCTGCCTTTCTAAATCAAATAAAGGGTTAGAACCCTCTTATTATAGTGCCACAAATTGGATTCTCTTGAAAATGATACATATTTTTTTATTCTTTGGTTGTCACCTATATAATAAAGCTTTAGTAAACTTTATGCCTATTTTTATAAATAGAGTTGCTTCTGTGTGCCTAGTTTTTCATATTGGAAATTGGTCTCAACAAACTAGAAAAAATAGGGGGGGAAAGATAACAGATATATTTCTTTGTGGGGAATTCCATTTACAATTACATTTTTATTGACACCATTAGTGGAAATGGAAATTGTCTAGCAGCTGTCTCTCCCTGCTGCTTGATCCCTCCTGCTCTGTTTCTTGACAACTGGGATTATAGGCATGCACTACAGAGACAGGAGGATTGCTGTAAGTTTGAAACAAATCTGGCCAGCCAGAGCTACATATCTAGACACCTCATGTCTAAAACCAAACAACAATAGCAACTAAAACCAAAACAACCTTAACAAAACCTAAGCCAAATATAGTTCTTTCTATACTAAGTCAAAACCAAACTAGTATTTTTAACTAAATCACATTAAACTATTCAATTTTGTTGTTACACCTGGTTATTATTTGTTGTCAGCATCATCTGGTACATGGGACTGCTGAGATGAATTGGTGACACAGCCTATTTTCTTCTGTTTCTATGTGACTGTGTATAGGTTACCTTCCGCACCAGAATCTATCACTGCAACATCAACAGTCAGGGAGTCATCTGCCTGGATATTCTAAAAGACAACTGGAGTCCTGCTTTGACTATTTCAAAGGTTTTGCTCTCTATTTGTTCCCTTTTGACAGACTGCAATCCTGGTAAGCAAATCTTTTTAAATCTATAAATAAGACTTCTTAGTTTAATGTTGATCAAGAAATAAATGTTAGAAAGATGATCAGCATAAGATTTGTTTTGAAGGATAATCATGGAGGTTGAGTCAGCGGAATAGTGAATCTGAGGCTGACTTCTCATGCATACTTCTGAGTTAGCTGGGGCTATCTGGTAAAACCCTTTCTTAAAATCACCAAAGACTTATGAGGAAACCAATATCATGTTGGTTAGACAGTCAGTCAAAAGTTTCTTAATATTCATTTAGTTTATTAATGTCCTGTAGCAAAATCTCATTTAGGCCACCAACCAGCTTCTGAATCGTGACATGGAGAAATTATTGGCTAGGAATGCTTGGCCCTAGCTCTTATTTTAATGTTTCTCTTTATCTACATTTTTCCTTGGGGCTTTTTACGTTTCTTTCTGTACATCTTGTTTTCACTGCTTCTTGTGTGTCTGGCTAGCCCTGGGTATGGACCTCTCTTTCTCCCTTGTTCTTTTCCCCTCTCCGCTCTCTCTCTCACCTAGATTCTTCCTCCTACTTATTCTTTCTGTCCACCAGCCCCACCTATCCCTCTACTGCCTGGTTACTTTTTATTACCTAGGTCAGGTTTTTATGAGGCCTATCCAAGTGCCTTATGCAAGCAGATGAAACAGCAGCACATCTTTACATAATTAAACAAGTGCAACACAAACAAATGTAGCAAGTCTTTGCAGTGTTAAAAAGGCAGCAAAACAAATGTAACACTTTTTCCATAAAAAAATATTCTACAACATAAACAAATGTAACATATCTTTACATAGTTAAACAATATCATACCCCTCTGTGATGATTTTTGTACTATCAGCTATGGAACCTTAACTGGGACTGTACAGATCATTTCTGTCGGAGTTGAGCAGTGTCCCTGATTCCTTTTCCATCCTTCCATGCTGCCATGTGCTTTACTGTACTCACCCGGTAACTGGGGGTTTCTCCCTTTTTGTATTAAAACTTAAATAGAGCAGTAACGAATATTGCAGTTACTACTCATCAGTCAGTCCAGATTGTTATGTAGAAACTCAAAGTTATTGGTTAATGACTTCTGAGATGCCTCCTAAGAAATTGAACATGGGTAGCCAACCTGTTAGAGTCATGTTTAGACCTGCAAGTCGCTACTGTGAGGGCTTGGTTATTACACTGAGAGGGTTCAAGGAGGAGAGAAGAAGAGAGAATTGTGCATTTGTTTAAGCAAACACGTGGAAATAACCTGAGTGTCCACAAAGAGACTGCAGCTATTGAAGAATGGAACAGTTCTGAACTTACGGGGAGATAGTTTTTTAGATCTAGTATATCAAGATACAGAGATTCTTGAAAAGATACATCCATACTTAACAAATATTGTTATGTTCTAGGTCTAAGGCATATATAGAATATCTCAAAAAAAGAATTTAAAGGTGTTAGTAGTTGTTTGCCAGGGAGAGGGTTGTGTGTCTTGGAGTCTAAAAGGGAAAGCCTTTACTCTTCAGTATGGCTGTGTTTGGAACACTTCCTGCACCATGTGCACATACTTTGCTTATGAAAGTTGTTTTTTATCTCAGATTCACTTTTACTTTAAAATTATATTTAAAATGAAATGATAGGTAAGTTTTTTTTTTAGTGGCTTATGTTTACAATTAGAGAAATAACTGTATGACTGTCAGGGAACATTTCATTCTGAATAGCATTATAAGATGGAAGCTTTATGTAAAACTTATGTTAAGATGTATAACAAGACAAAAATACACCTTCTATTCCACTTTCATAGTTGAACAAAATGTCACAAATAACGTGACAGAGAAGCTGCATCTATAATATTGCAACAGAATATCTTAGGCTGCAGAAGGAAGACCTGCACAGTGACATTAGCGATTGACATGCTGTGTGTGTGTGTGTGTGAGAGAGAGAGACAGAGACAATCAGTGGCTGCTGAGGAGCAAGAATATGTCTTTTCTAGAGATGAGCCCCTAAGTGGTTGACCTTAAACACGTGAACCTACGAGTGGGGAAGGGTATGCATATGATATCGTGTAATAATGATAATGACAGATGTTTTGAATTTGAGTGAATGGTTCGGGGAGAGATGCAAGTAAAAATAATGTAAATACAGTAGTCATATGATTCCCAATAAAATTTAAAATTTTTGTTAATTTACCATTGACTTTTTCAGTAAAAGGGGCTTATGTCATCATAGATTATTTTCTTTGGAAAAATCAAAGCATACTGTATTCAAATATAACTTACACTGTAATGCAATTTTAGAACTGTACATGTAAAGCACACCTGATGTCTTAATATTGTTTTCACTTTTCCAGCGGATCCTTTGGTTGGCAGCATAGCCACTCAGTATTTGACCAACAGAGCAGAACATGACAGGATAGCCAGACAGTGGACCAAGAGATACGCAACATAATTCTCATAATTTGTATGCAGTGTGAAGGAGCAGAAGGCCTCTTCCCACTGTGCTTCGGATCTTTATAGCCTTTACAATACGGACTTCTGTGTATATGTTATACTGATTCTACTCTCTGCCTTTATCCTTTGGAGACTGGGAGACTCCCCCAAAAGGTAAATGCTATCAAGAGTAGAACTTTGTAGCTGTAGATTAGTTACGTTTAAAATGCCTACTTGCAAGTCTTGCTTCTTTGGGATATCAAAATGTATTTTGTGATGTACTAAGGATACTGGTCCTGAAGTCTACCAAATATTATAGTGCATTTTAGCCTAATTCATTATCTGTATGAAGTTATAAAAGTAGCTGTAGATGACTAGGAATTATGTCATTTGTATTAAGCCCAGATCTATCTCTGAGTATGTGGTTCATGCTGTTGTGAATATGTTTTACCTTCCCCCTTTGTCAGTTTGTAATGAGAGGATTTCCTTCTACCCTTTGTAGCTCAGAGAGCACTGATGTATCATCTCAAACACAATAAACATGCTCCTGAAGGCATAGTTTCTTGTCGTAATGTTGAAAGTCTTGTCAGAAGGTGTGTCTGAGATGATTGTTGATGAAATAAAGATGTGGCTATGAAGATTGATTATTAAGGACTAATACAAATGGATGAATTATTAAATTGAAAGCATTTAAAAATCTTAAGCGTGTAGAGTTTTTTCCTTTAAGGAGAGCATATAGTGGGCTTAAATGTGAAGCTGGATTTAAACCATTGGTCTTTAAAAAACAAACATGAATTCTACATTGATGATGTAATATTTGAGTTGAAAATGAAGTCCTGGGATATTCAGGACCCGCTCCATGTCTTACAGAGCATTTTGTTTCCAAATTGGTGATGTCTATTAAAAGTTGGGCAATACTGTCAGATAATTGCTATTCTGTGACTGCTTTTCTATGGTGCTTTTCCCTTTAATCCTGATCTTGAATTTTTATGGTGCATTACTGTTACTGTGATCATGGCCAGCAAGTGTAGCCAGAGGCGCAAAGGCCCTGTTTCCCTTAAGGTAGAGGTGTGTTCATGTGCAGATGTGGCACTCTCTGTTGAAGACATACTATTGTAAGGATGTAGAGCTTAAATAACTTCTAACTGTAATTATGAAGTGTACTGTTTAGCTTGTAATTATTAAGCTTTCTTAAGAGAATTGTAAACAATATGATTGTACTATTTTTTTCCCCTGTGCCTGGAATAAATTATCTGTGGTCAGTTTCTTTATCGATCCTAAATATGGTAATACAGTATCATCATAAAATTTATGGAAATTTATCATTAGAATAAGAGTAAGTATTGCTTTGGACTGGGGAATGCTAGCTCAGTGGTTAAGGCTACCTTGGCACCCCCAGCACCACACACGTACACAGACACAGACATTTCTTTAGGGAAGTGAGTCATGTTAGTTACATAGACTACCACTATTAAAATATGGGCTTCTGTTCAAATATTTGATGATAGAATTACTAAATCAGGGAAAAACTTAAATTTAACAGGTTTCTCATTTCTACAAGTGCTATACACACACACAGTGAACAACATGTTAATGATAGAAGATTTAAGCTTTATTTCAGAAAACTTCTGATTCTTATTTTAAACATTAAAAATCCACAGTTCAAGTCAATATGATGAGAGTGGAGGCCATGCATGATAGTTAAAATCATTTTCATTAATCATGGTAAGCTGTGGAAAGGACTTCATCCCACTGCTGAGATGGGTCATTCTACCCTAGAGGAATAAGCTTCTTTTGGTCTCGGAAGCTTTCATCCTGAGCCTTGGGGTGTTACTGTGTTGCCCTTCCAATTGTAATTTGTGGATGTGTGGGAGTGGCCGAGCCACCATGTATCCTGTTGGACCTGTAGTGTCCTAATGATTGCACACCCTCTAAGGAGCTGGGCTGTGCAAAAACGTGTCTGATATGCATACCTGCTGTAACTGTTGCCTGTGAAAGAATTATTCATCGATTATTATAATTTCTAAAATTAGATAAATTATTTGAGTAGATCTTTACGAACCAATTTTAGTTTCAGATTTATTTCTAACAAATACAAGGTAGTTTATTAGTATTCGTTACCGGAACACTTAGGATAGTTCCCTTTGTTTAAAAACTTGAAAATGAGATGAGTAATACTAAAAACCACCTTACATACCACATCTAAAAGTTTGTACTGATAAGCGTATCAGATATGTTATTTTAATTACATGGACATGACCTTTTCTTTTGAACTAGGAAATCTTAACTAATTGTGGGAATAAAAATTTGTATTTTTACCATGCCACCTTTTCTCAGAAGAGCTTTGAGTTTTGTCTCTGATTTGTAAAAGAACTTTAGTCAGTCCACTGGTTTTCAGTGGTGTTCACAAGTAATAGAAGAATGACAGGCATAAATATTGAGAGGCCGTTTAGTCCTGAGACTGCGATTATCATCATGGTAATGCATAGATTATTAACACATTCCTAGTTGCAGTTTAAATTGTGGGCTTTGGACAGATCATTTAAGTATGAGCTGAAACATCAATTGTGTTTTGTCAATCCACCTTAAGAAACTAATCCTAAGGTAATTGCATTATTCTTATACTTCATTTAATGTTCCTTATTCAGAGTAAGTAAATGTACAAGCCTCTTTGTTTTATATCAAGTCTCATTAGTTTTTTCAAGCGATACTCCAATAATAATAATTAGACTTTAGTACATACCCATTATTTAAGTCAAATCTCACTAGCTCCTCAGTTTCCCCTTCGGAAGTTCTTTGTTGTTTGTTTCCAGTGTGCAGTGGAGCAGTTCCGCACAGTGGACTGTTAGTGCTTCCAGAATGGTACAGGGTACAGTGCTGAGTGGCTTATGTAACTGCCTATCAGTGGTATCTTGCTCACTGTCAGACAGCGTCCACCCTCTTAACCTAGAACTGAGACCTGTGCACATCTGTCCCAGGCATGCACGCTTCTGTTTTTGCAGTTTTCTTTCCTATCTGACTGTTGAACCCACAAGCAGCTCCCTGAAGGGAATGCTCTGGAACCAGCATCTTCCAGTTTGCCACCTGCTGTGCTTGCAACTGCTTGTGTCTGCACTGGAAGTCCAGAGTGAATTTTAAGGAAGAACTCCCAATGTCAACATACATAAATGCTAAGAAGCCGAAGTGTGTGTGTGTGTGTGTGTGTGTGTGTGTGTGTGTGTGTGTGTGGTTACAGACATCCTTTAGTCTTTGTCATTAGGTGTAGGTTAGGCAGCAGAGCGCTGGAGCTTGGTCCTGGGTGTATTCTAAAGTAGAGCAGAACTTAACAAAATAAATAGCTTGGCACGTAGACAGTGAGTACCGTAGTCATGGAGATCTGTCTCATGCAAGTCACTGGAAGGTGTTCCCCTCAGATCTCCTCAGTTTGCCTCACATCCGCCCTTTGAGCACTTACGTCTCACCGCTGTCATTTGCCTGTTAGTTTGTCCGTCTTTTTTCCTCAGACACCATCTGCACATGCATCACAGAGAACCGAGCATTTGTCTTCCACTTTCAACAACAAGCCTAGTGACCTCTCTAAAAGTCAAGAACTCCTTTTTATCTTTCTCTTTTTTGGAAACGTAGGGAGTGGGTGGGCAGATAGTGGTTAGAAGACACATATACTGTATAACCTAACTGATTTACATTGAGAGTTTGTTCTTCAAAGTTTAAATGCTTGATAATTGCTTAGTTTTTTTAGAATATGAAACATACAGAGATTAATACATTTACACATCCTTATTAGGTAGTTTATCACTTTCCTGTCCAGATAGGTTTTTCTCCATAGCAAAAGAAAAACATGTCTTGGTTAAAAAAATTAATAAATAAAAACATTGTTTTCTGCTGAATAAGAAGCTAAACGGATGTCCCTGCTGATATAACAAAATCAATCACATAATGTTTATATCAATCTATATAATACTCAATATACTTAATACTGGCTGCCATTTTAAATATTCTTGGGCTAGGAAAATGGCTCAGCAGATAAAAGTGCTTGCCATGCAAACATGACCACCTGAGTGAGCCCAGAACACACATTAAAGGCAGAAAGAGAAAATACACTCCATCTCCTGCCCCTTCTCGACATTATACGTACACACAGAAACACTCCATCTCTTGTCCTTCCTCCTAGACATTATACATAGTAGTTAGATGTTGATACATGCAGCCCTGTGACTTGGCCATGTTTAAGTTTCAGTTAAGCACAAATGCTAGCATTGCTTAAGATCCTTTGCTGGGCACATTCATGTTTTAAATGTGGACTTGGTGCTTCAAGACAGATGGTGAGGTGGCACATTGCAGTCTGAACCTAAGAGCATTTGGCAGTGCTAAAATTGAGCTTTCTGTTTAGTCCAAAATAATTCAGTGATGAGTGGGCTACTTTGTACTTTTCTTCCCTCAAAATTTGAGTATTTGGAAATCTTGGCTTCCAGAGATGCAAACTACATGTAACCATATTTAACTATGTGTAGGCACCTTCATAAAGGCAAGCTCTTAATGGTGGATGTCCTACATAGCAGTTTGGCATGTGTCACTTGTTTTGACATCATAGTGATGTTTCTAGTAAGACTGGCTAGTACTTGGTTGTATCTCATTGTACACACAAAATCTCCCAGACTTGAAGTGTACCGTTGGAGAAGCTCATGGGAAGCTGGAATCATCACATAACCCTGCAGTGATGGGAAGGAGCACGGTGGTCACCCTCTATTTTACTTTATTCCCTCCAGTGCCTCTTCTCAAATGCTTTGCTTGCACTGCCCTCCCCGTCCATGCCTGGGCTAGAGGATCGCAATTAAAAGAAGTCTTTATTTATAGAAGGGCATGCCCCGAATCCATTAGCATTTCTGAAGTCCTGTATCTTGCTAACTAAAGTTGGAAATCGTTTTGTATTTTGACTGGCAGCTTGTTACATCCTTCTCAATGTATCTTTTTTCCCTCGAGTATTTTAAAAGCAGAATTTACATAACCCTGTTTATCGTTCAGGAATACTAGGTATAAATTGCCATGGGATTCCAAAAGCCCACAGGAAGTTACAGTGTTCCAGTGGGGCCTCCTAGAGAGAAAGTACAGACACATTCCCCTTGGCACTAAGGTGTGTGTGTTGCCTGTGGTGATGATGGTGGACCAGAAGGTGTGATTTAGGGAGGCACTACACCGGGAAAACCACCCAACCCATCTAAATTCTGGAAAAAGGTGTACTCTTCTGAGCTTGGGCTAAAAATACTGTCTTGCTTGTTCTCATTGCTGGAAGGTTAAAGAGATCAATAAAGTTTCATCTGCTTCTCCACATCAGACTTGTCTGTATTTTCTTCATGTCCAGAGAAGCCCAGGTCACAAAGGGTGGTGGTTCTGGAAAGTGTTAGTTATCCATTCTATGCTGCTATTGCAGATTCTTTTTCTGAGATTAAATACATTGTACACAGGTGCTGTGACCACACATCGATTCATCTCATAGAACATGCTATAGTCTGGTCTAACAGCTGCCTCCATTAGTACTTACAGCTCTGAGCCCACCTGGAAAACTGTTCCATAGCACAGTATCCCCAGAGACTGGAGCTGGAAGACCAGCTTGGTGGGGAATATGCCCCCCCCCCCCCATGATTTACAGCTTCTGAAAATGACCAGAATCTGCTCTCTTAACAAATAGGGATAGTAGCCTTAGTTTCAAAGCTGGAATCCTGCCCATGACTCTAAATACTGCTGTCAAAACCTACCATCATAAAGTCGAAATATACATTTATAAAAATATTACCAAGGTTATAGCCTGTCATTTTTTGACATTTTCCTTTAAAAAGAACAAATATGGGAATCACAACTTAAAAATTTTAGTGTGTTCTCAGTAAATCAGCTAAGTAATTATCTTTAATAGCTAGTGAATAAAATATTCTGATGAGAACTGATACCTAAGTTCAGATTTCTGGGTCTTTCGTAAGATGAACTTCACAGCCAAGCAATATCACCACCGGTTTTATTTGGTATCTTGTTCTGTAACTGGGATTTTTTTTTCCCCTACTTTTTAGAATCTGAATTCTTTTTTCAGTTACATAATTGGACTAATTCCAGTGAACAACACTGCAAAATGTAGTGTCAGAGAATATTTAGTGGCAAAACAATGCATTGTGAGTTACTTGGAGAACAAATGTTAAGAAAATACCATTAAGTTCTATGCAGTATGACACCTCCCTGTAGAGCATGGTTTTGCTTGGTCTCTGGCTGTGTCCTGTTTTTTCTTTGTTTTGTTTG